AGAGTGATATGGTGGTGTGCACCTTGGATCTGACTTCATCAAATAATTTGGGCCAAGTTAGGAATGATTTCTCGGTCGTTGGGTCCTTAGTCTTGGTAACAATGCTACTTGTGTTGCATCAAGTTGGGTGCTTGAGACTATTGTGCTCGGTGTGGTCGTGCTCAGCTTTCAAATGACTCTTAAGTACTTTTTGAATCAAAATGAAACACAAACTAAAATGAGAGAGAGATGGATCAGATGGTGCTCAAACAAAAAATCTGAAGAATAGAGTTGTTTGTTGATATATAAAATGGACAATTACAATGATGGTGCTCAAGAACTTTGAACAAGCTTCAGAGTTCTTGGTGATATGCTATGTTGAATCCTAGGAAAGAAATAAAATTTATCTATGTCTAGTTTAGGGAATACATTGAACAACATTTCGGCTTGGTTTTTTTTGTTGAGAGATTGGGTGTTTGAAAATGAAAACTGTTCTACTATTTAAAGGCAAAAGTTGCCGTCTTCAGTAGGTGCCAAGACTTGCAGCCACCGCCCAAACCTTTTGCTTGAAACACCTCCTACCATCACATCATGCCTCGATCACAGGTATCGATGTACTTTCTGCACATGCCCTCTTTTCGAGTTCTGAGGCTTTTATTATCTGATTAGCTCAAGTTCCGAGAAGTATGTTAGTATGAAAATTGTATTGGCATTTCCTAAACTCTAGCATAGGTCGGGAATTAGGATGTGAATATCTTTTACTAGAAATTTTGGCCAACACATTCAATACTAGATTTTTGAAGTATGACTTGATCGATATGAGGAAATTTTTTTGAGAAAAGATGGTATTTCATTCAACCGAAAGGGACATTATATGGTAAGAACTAGCAGGTTAACGGCGGCATCGTTAAAACCTTCTTAGAGAAACAAAATTCCAGGGTAGGAAAGAGTATCATCCATGCTATTAACTAAACAGAAGAGCCAAACAACATATACGAAACAAACCAACCTAAACCTCAACCACAAAACCCTTAAAACAACATCCCATCACTACATAGATACTGTCAAATAAGTCCTCCTATGATCTAGAAAAAAACATCATAATTCTTCGTATAGAGTCAAAAACGTACTATGGGTATCAGAATAGATCTAGCCAATCACCAGACTGCAAAATCATTGAAACACATCCTATCACTACGCTGATACTATCAAAGAAAGCCTCCTATGATCTAAAGAAAGTATCATAGTTCTTCGTACAGAGTCAAAACGTATTGTGAGCATCATAACATATCCAACCAAACACCAACTGCCACATATTCTTAATCCAGATCCCCAGTTGACAAGCAAGGGAGACCAAGATTGGCCTCTTAGCATGAAGAAAATTCCGAAGAAAGATCTTCATAGTAGAAACGTTCATCGGTTGCCAAGCCCACGAACGTTCCATAGGAAAATTATTAGGGAGATTTTGGAGACCTCTCAAGGCTGGTCTTGTTTGCCTTGTTAACAAAATCCTCGATACAAAAACTACGTTTACTAGAAAAATCCATGCGACTAACAATCAAATGTCGAACACTAGTTTTCGCACGCTTCTGATTTTCGCTTGGTGTCGCATACTTGTCATCCCCTTGAGCAGAAGAGGCGGGGACCATCTTCATAGCGTTAAGATGGAAACCCCTCACTAGAGACTGGCTCCTTGGAAATCAAGAAAGAAAGCCAAGGCAGCCACCCCACCGAGAACAAAAGAGCAAAAAAATGTCATGTCCAATTCACCAAGAAGAACCCAAAGAAACAATCAGAGAAGACTGAGAGAGATGGCACAGTGAATGAGTAAAGAAAACTGGAGAAACCCTAACCCTAGCCTCAAGGCTCTCCTCGCGTGAACGAGAGAGCAGCCCCTCAATAAGACCATCTACTTGTATATTATTTTTAGGTAAATCATGACATACATTGTAGGATTCTAGGTAAATCATGACATAATCATGCATTCATTATAGGATTCCTGGCTGGAGTTATTTTCATCCAAGTGCCTTTATGTTAGTCCTGTTTTTAATAGGATTAGATTTGATCTCTTGAGATTATTTTCCTAGTTGAACCTTATTTTGATTTAAATTAAAATATTATCTTTCATCTTTGACTTGGAAGGAACGTTGTTCTATTGCTTTCATTGATTCATCTGGATAGATATTGTTTCCTTCTATAACAATTGGTTGTAGTGAAAGTCATTTTTAAGAGTGCATAAGCTGACGAAATTGAATAGGATTCTTAGAGAATCAAATTTAATTAATGGAAAGATATTGATCTCTTGACTTTATGCATTTCTCTTGGAAAAAGGAGAACATGATGTGCTTCTTTGTTTGAAGACACAACTTTTACATATTTTGTCTGAGCATCTAAAATTCCTAAGAAAGCTGTTGTGCTTAACTTTGAGACAAGTCATCAAGTGTTCCATGTTTACTTGGTGATTTATCAAATACTTTCATCATTCATATTAGATTCATTTGAATGTTCGGTGACTCATAAGGTTGAGGGCACTAACACCGTGGTGGCTGTTTTTCTCTGACGAGCTTGAAGCAGTCGTGATTAGTATTGCGTTCAATATAAGGAGTGTCGAAAGATCATCCCCTGACAGAAGTTTAATTACGAAAAAATTGGTAAACATTATCTAGAATGTGTCTAGGATAAGTGTATGAGTACTTCTAGTGATCAACGTTTTATTGTGGGTTTGTTTTTGACTGAGAAGTCTCGTGGATTTTCCCCATAGGTGGAGTTTTACCACGTAAAATAATTATCTATGTGTTTCTTTATTTTATACTCTTCACGTTTTAGGATTTATAAACTATATCAATCCTGCTATTAAAGTTTATTTTTATTTATTTATTATAATTTTAAATTAGCATATTAGGCATTCTTAGTCATCCTATATGTAATTTCAAAGTAGCCTGCTCGACGTTCCATCATTCCTTATGCTCTGTTGTGTGGTGCTCTTCTCAAGGTACTGCACGTGAAATCCATGCCTCTGTCGTGCTTTTTACTCGGCCGAGGAACAAATGTTGAGCTTTGACTTTGGTTAAATCTTTGTCATGTCTGACTGTTTGGGTTGGGCCGCCCCTTTAGTGCTTGTGTCGAGATTTTTGCTCAATGAGTCTTGGGCCCAATGTACCTTTAGTCAATTTTAACTATGGACATGGGTTAGACCTGGGCCGAGTTTGTTGTTGTCATGGTCATGGGTTTCCTAGGTCTGATTTCAAATTTTTCTTTGGGCTTTGATCACTTTTATCTCTAAACCCAAAAACCTTGGCTCAAATGGGTAAAGTGATTGCTACCATTCTAAGCTGATGTAATGCAAGACAATAAAGAGGTCGATTATATTAGGCTATATTTCTCGCTGTGTCAATTCGCATCAGAGTTTGGTTGTCATTTATGGAATCTGTTCAGCTTGCTCAATGGAAAATCAACTATGACATATTTTCACCCATGACAGATGTGTGAAGAAGCATTTTGGGACACATTGAACGATATGGCTGCATACATAGAAGTTTTATCAACTAGATCTCGGATGTAGAACAACTCTTTGGGAATATGGTTCACGTTTTAATTGAAGGCTAGTTTCAATGGTAGAATCATATATGATATATTGAGAACCAGACAACGACAATGCATGTCGATAGTCGAGACATAGAGGTAGATGAAGGAACTTTTTTTCTAGAAAACATTTAAAACGTTGCCAAATTAATTTTTCCTAGTCAACAACAATGCATGTCATACATTTTTAGGGTCTTGATTGTTTCCTTAAAAACACTTTGGCAGATGTATTCAATAAATTTAGAGGCGAGGATTTGTTTCCTTGTGTTTGGTTCATGTCGCGAATTTTTTTTATAAAGATTACGTTATTGTTCCTGCCTTTCACATTTGGATTTCAGATGATTTTCTTGCTATCTTTCGTACTCTTTTAAGGTGCTCCTATTTTATAGAATATCTACTCCAATATATATATAAAATAAAAATAAAATAAAATAAAAGTCAACTTAAAAAAATTTGGGTCGATATTTTCATGATGGGCCTTTTAAAACATGAGCTTTTAGTGTTAGGTACGAATCCTATAGTGTTTGGGTCTTCCCACTTTACTGTTGAAACATGATCTGATTACTCTTCACGAGGGCTAAGTTCCATATTGTAAGTCATCAATTCTGGCTAATCAGTGGGTTTGAAGGGGATTGGTATCTTTTTTTATTTTATTTTATTTGTTTTTAAATCGTTTGGTTGATATTTTTGCTCAAAATTACAAATTCACCCTTAATTCAAAGAATGTCCAAAAAAAAATTTGGCGCCTTACATATTGGCTAATTTTTATATATTTTACAGCTCCAATTAAGAACAGAAAAATTATTTGGTTGAAAAAAAAGGGACAGAAAAATTATGAGGGCAAATTAATATTATTGTAATAGTTTATGGGGCAAAGTAACAATTTACTAATTTCCAGGATTGAATTGTATTGTTCCAGCAATAAAAATCATAACTATTCCAATTGGTATTAATAATACTAGCCTCTTCGCATGCGCTTTCGCATCTGCAAGAGGGTTTTTTTTATTTTTTTTATTTTATAAATTTAAATTTATTTTAGAATTAAAAAAAATAATGGGTAGTTGTGTTCCACAAAAATATGATTCATTATCTAATTTTTCTTTTAATTTTAATTTTTTTAATATAAAAAAGTGTGAATTTATCATATTATCCTCATTTAATTAATAATTTTAATTCTTAATGTTTGGATTAACTAAGGGCATTTTCTGGTATTTTGAATGTTTCACCATTATCTGCATTTTGCTTTATATATATAGATATAACATGTATTTTCAACCACTTGTGATGAAATACCACGTATTACGTACATTATTGGCAAAAAAACAAAGTATTACATACAATACATTGAAATTAAAAATAAAATAAAATAAGTTATGACATGTATTTTTTTTATCTGACCACTAAAATAAAAATAAAATAAAAAATTTATTTTAAAAAAAGAAAAAAAAGAAAAAAAAAGCTGAGCTGTTGTTTCTTTATACATATAAAACGGTTCATGTGTATCTGGATGCCATTTACACCTTGCATGTTTCAAATATTAATGCAGCATTATTGCACCCAAAAGCCAACCCAAGCCCAATTTAAAAGTGCTTAAACCCAACTTTAATTCCTTTTTAAACCCCATAAAGACAGCTTCCCCATGTTTAGGACACATGGAGCCTGTGAGGAATGAGCTGGCTAAGCAAGCTCTAGGAAACACTAATTATGTAATTAGGGCCCTAAAGGTGCCCTATGAGGTATGCCTTTCCTTCTCCTTGAATTTGAATGATGAGGTGGAGGTGGAGTTGGAGTGTTTTGGTACATGTCTTGTTGCATTCCTTGAGGCAATCGATCTTCTAACTCTTTTGATGGCAATCTTATTTCTATTCCTTCCCTTCTTCCCTCCTCTTCTTCTTTCTTTGCGCTCAAGATAAAGCTTGCTTCCCCATTCTTCTTTAGTCCCACAAGCTAATGTTTAAAGAATGAGATATTGGATTAATTGCTAAGATATTAGCATTTAATGATGAGTCAGCATCATCAACTAAATTACAAAATATACCAACATTGTGATTTTGATTTAACAACGTGAATTAATTTTCGTTCATGAGATTTGAACATGGGAGGTGGAGATTGAATGCGAACCAAATGGTTGTCGATCGGCACATGCCACCAACATTGTGATTTTGATGCACATTTTAATCACAATGACTTCCCACACAAAATTAAATCAGAAAACTAAAGAGATTGAGATCTAACCTTGCATCCCAATGAACAAAAACGCAAGGGGTCCAAGAGACTTCTAGTACATACTTCACAGATATGTGAGCTCCCTTTAACGGCATTTTTAGGCTGAGGCCTCTCATTCAAAAACAGTACTCTCGCACTGTTTATCACATAAGTCTGAACTCCATTGATGTCTAGGACCTTCTGAATCTCAGACACCCTAACAACATCATGATACGACGACCGCCTGATCTGCATTGCAATTTTCACACCCAATAAGGAAAAAAAATTCACACAAAATTAATTACACAAAAAGAAAAAGAAAAAGGAAATCTGGTGGAATTAATTACCTGAATTACTTGGTGATCTTTGTGCCTTGATGATCTGCAGTAAAAGCAAAATGCGCCATTGTTGCAATCTAAGCAGTACATGTTGCATTCGCTTCGGGGGGCATCTTTGTGTGATGGGCAGATGGAGAAGAAGGCTGTTGATAGCAATGATTCAAGCCATGGAGGAACCAACATGGCCACCTGTTTGGGAGGCAAGAAAATCGAAATGGCCGAGAAAATAATCAAGAGAACAATGCTAGGCAGATTTAGCCTTCACTGCCGCATTAACGTTACAAAATATATGAGACTGAGAGAGAAAGAAAGAAAGAAAGAAAGAAAACAAAAAATGGTACAAAAGAATTTGAAAGAGTAACATAAGATTTATCAGCAGAATGAAAAAGGACAAAACTAGACATACCATTTGTTAAGGCTTAGCTTGCTTTGCTTTCTCTTGTTTAATGCTTGGATTGAGTCATATCTTGATCATGAGACCAAAGTGGCACGCAGAAAAGGACAAGGTAGCTGTAACGAACGGTTGAGATGAGAGGATGGTGGGTTTGAACCGTTGGATTGAGAGAGAGAGAGAGAGAGAGTGAGAGAGAGAGTGAGAGAGAAGGGTTTGTATTATTGTATTAATTGGGGGTTACGGAAACACTTTTGATTGTCTTGAGTTGCGTCTCTTTGGAGAAGCC